GGGGTCGAACCCCTGCCGTTTTATGGGAGATATCTCGACTATAGAAGGCCAAACCACATCACTGGCCGACTTGCTATACTTCGCAATTGAGGTGTCGTGTGTGCTTTTCGCGTGGGACACGAAAGACCGCCCGGACAAAGTGCGTGAATTGCGAAATCGGACTCTGCATTTCCGGATTTTTTGAGAATTCCACACGAAGGCAACATTCCGGCAGATGACGCAGGCGGGAAGACAGACACTCCATGCAGATGGTGGCCAAAAATTATGTAAGTAGGACATAATTTTCTACTTTAAAATTTAATTTTATATAATGTTGCCACGCGCGGACTCTGCGACACCATATAGCGTCATTCGTACCGGGGACTTTCTTTTAACGACGACATACGTTGTCTTTAGTCGTTTAAAGGTTAATCTTGAACCGTCATATACACAGTGGTGCATGAAGGTGTCCAGTCTTTTGTCTTCTTTTAATCAAAACTGGAATGTGTGAACAGATTATATACTGGATCATAACCAAGAGTGGCTGTACATAGGCGAGTCAAATGAAAACTGTAAAACTGAGATAAAAAATTGAAATATCTCGCCATTGTCCTATAAGTTGGCAGACACGTTACCAGTGCTATAAAGAGTATCCTATAGGTGGCACTATAATGCAGACAAACAGAACGCCATCACAGTGTCAGTTTGAAGATGGCTGCTCCACTATGTACATGCGTGAAAGAAGAGCAACGTTCTGTAATTCGTTTTTTGATCAGTGAAGTTGTAAAAACCGATTGAAGTTCATTGACAGATGAAGGTTCAGTATGGTGATGCATGCTTGTCACAGCAGCAAGTGTACGAGTGTAGTAGGAAATTCAGAAATGGTGTGAAGTCTGTGGCAGACGCTCCTCACCTGGTCAGATGCACAGAGTTGTGACCACTAAGTCTGTTGCAGCAGTTGAAGCCCTAGTGATGGAGAATCGCCGAGTGTTGGTGGATGAAATAGTCAAAATTCTTAGCATGAGTCATGGATCAGCACACCATGTCATTCATGATGTGCTCCAGTTTCACAAAGTGTCTGTAAGGTGGGTGCCATGGCAGCTGAGTCCAGAATTGAAACGACAACGTGTTGACGCCTATAAAGAACTTCTGCAGTGCCTTAAAGTAGAAGGTGATGGCTTCCTTTCAAGAATCGTTATTGGTGTTGAAACTTGGGTGCACTATGACCAACGGGAAACAAAGGGAACGAGCAAAGAATGGCGTCATTCCTTATCACCCAAGAAGTTCCGGACGCAGCCATATGCAGGGAAGATTATGCTGACTCTCTTTTAGGTTGAACGAGGCATACTCTTGGAGCACCACACGCCTCGGGGGAACACTATCACCAGTGCCTCGTATTCAGATCTCTTGAAGAATCATCTTCGACCTGCAGTCAGATCAAAGCGACGTGGACTTTTGACTAGAGGTGTCCTTTTGCAACGTGACAATGCTTGGCCCCATACTGCCCATGCAACAATTGCAACAATCCACGACTTGCACTCTGAGTGTCTTCCACATCTGCCATACTCACCAGACCTAGTCCCAAGTGATTACCACAGGTTTGGGCCACTCAAAGAGGCGATGGGAGGAAAGAAGTTCCGTTCTGATGAAGAGGTACGCCACGCAGTGCATGAGTGGTTGCGCAGACAACCACAAGAATTTTTTCCTAGAGGAATCCATACACTTTGTAAATGTTGGAGGGCCTGTATTGAACGAAATGGAGACTGTAGAAAAATAGTATAGTTGTGTACCGCTTTCATTCAATAAATTAAATTTAAAAATTTTTTTACGGTTTTCATTTGACTCACCCTTGTATAATCATTATTGATGAGATGAAAAGTAATATAGTAACATTTGAAACCTGTTTTTTGTAAACACCCTGTAAGACCATATGGCTGTATAATCTGTTGTGCTGTTGTATACCTCAGTGATTTCTAAGTCACATGTTCTGATTGCATATAATGTATGCTCATATTTTTGCATCAAGAGATAAATGATTACTGGAAGGGAACTTTTATATATTCCTTGGCTGATAAGTGCAGAAAAATAATGTTAAAATACAGGTTATAGATGGTATGGGGGAAGAATTTGTGAGTGGAGTATGATCTAATCCATGGATTTCCATCTAACTATATTGTGATAAAGGAGGATTATCTTGTTTGTCAGGGGTCAATCAGGGTCCATTTTTAATAATTTCCTGTGCAATCTTCTGTCAGTATTGTGATCTTCTGGGTCATATTCTGAATTGGTATTACAGGGTGGTGCATGAAATGATCCAGCATTTGATCTGTTAATAAAATATTCATTTCAGTTACAATACTAGAAATTAACGTGCAAAAAGAAAGACCATTTCATGGAGATTTATTCTCTGTGAATCAAGTGTTCAGTATGACCACCATTATGTCTGGCAACTTCAACCAGAATTATGATGTTAATTACTCGATGGCACATATCCTCAGTTATCTTATTTGTAGGTCCGAATAATTAGTGTTCTCAATTCCATTATTGTTTTTGGCCTTTTCAAAAAAATCTTTTGCGTAAGGAATCCCGAAAGAAAGTAGTGACATGCGTTTAAATCGGGAGTCTTGGGGGGCCAGTTCTGCCCACGTGTGAAAGAATCAGGAAGTCAATTTGAGATGACATGTGAGTTGAAAATTTCATGCAGAAAGTCCAAAACAACATTCGCTTCCTGCAGCCTGACTCCTTTTTGCATGAACCACTGAGTCTAACAGCAAACCTATAGCAAGAAGGTGAGGCACAAAAATATTGTGCAACTTGCTTAAATAGCACTCACTGGTTACTGTCTCTTCAAAGAAAGTTGGCCATAGCAGTCCAAGACTTGAGATGGTGACCCACACTGTAATTCTTGGATCACACATGGATTCTCTGACTCCCAAAATCACACATTTTTTTTGTTCACCACACCATCCAAGTGGAGGTGTTTTTCATTAGAAAACAGAATATTGTTGAACAATACCTCATTATTCTTAACCCATTCAGCAAATGCCATTCTTTGAAGTTTGTTTTGAACTGTAGTTTAGGCAATGCTCTTATTTTATATGGATACAAACTCAAAGCACTTTTCAGTATTTGTTACACTGGTCATCTGGATATCCCTAGTTGTGCTGCAGCCTTCCTTGTTGATTTACTGGGGCTTCTTTGCAGCGCCACTCTGACAGTGGGAATGCTGTCCGCAGAACACTGAGATACAAGCCAGTGACGTTTCCTCTCCAACACTGAACCATCATTATTGAACTGGTTATAAAGTGTATGAATTGTTTTGAATGAAGGCATCCATTGTGTTTGAAAATGGGCATGAAACCACCTCTGCGACCACAACATTTCTTGTATCAGTAAAGAACAACACTGTTTTATGTGTTCTTCTACAGACTGTATTCCTTCATCATTCATCTTGTGTAAACTGGTGCACAAGCAGGAACAGTGCGATACTAGCTCTCTCACAAAGAGTCAGATCTAATCTCTGTGGTCTGCTGTAAATGTTATCATGTTACAAAACATTGCTTCTTGTATGGTTGAATAATTAATACTAAATCAAATATTGGATCATTTTTGTGCCATCCTGTACTTGTGCAGTGTGTCTGTGCTTGGTGATTGAATTTCTGCCATTTCCTTGACCAATGTGTTGATACGGACTTTATATTGGGAATAATACTTGATTCATTGTTTGAACTAGAAATTTTCTACTGAATTTTATATAACAGTAAATTGTTATACCAAAATAGTGTCATTGTTTCGTTGTCATGTGTACTGGCTTACTAGTTTTGGTCAGTGCTGCCACTTAAAGGACACAAGTAAAAGAAAGTAATATTTTGCTCACATGACCTTCAAATAACAACAGATATTTCCTGTGGAAGCTTATTTTTTCATTAAACATTGGTATGTCACTTTTCTTGCCCATCTATTGACAGAAATTGTATACTAATTAGCAACAAACCAGTCTCTTCAGCTGTGGTGGTTTTAATTCAAGTAGCCTATGTCAGCATAGTTTTTACACAGCATGTAAAGGGTTTGCCTTTTTAATCTTGTGTGCAATTGCAGTTCATTTTACATGTGCTGAAATGGTCTGAGGTACATTTGTTGAAATGTAAGATGTCATATTATAACTGCAGGGATATGAAGATATGTACTCAAGAGTGAAACGACCCCGTCGTCCAGTTCAGGGAATGATATATTCTCCTCAAAAGAATAAACCCCATCAAACAAAGCTTACAGGTAAAGTCAAATTTTAAAGACTTTTTGGAAATGTATAGTGTGAGGTTGCGAGTGGAGCTGAAATGGTACATTATGGGATCTGATAATTTGGGGGGGGCATGGTAAAGAATATTTGGTTTCCATGAAAAGTGGGGAACAGAAATTCACTGTAAATGGATTATGCATCTGAAGGATGCACAGTTTGTGGACCATATAAGTAAATGAAACTGTTTTGAATGTGATAGTGATTTTTTGACGAAGCACAGTCTTTATTTCAAACATTCTGAGTTCATTCCAGAGCCAGATCTGTTATTCTGTGTCCCAATCAAAGACTTCACCTCTGCCAAACCTCGGACTGGGTTGAATATCAGCCCCTACTGCAGTTTAGATGATGAATTCTCATGGGGTGAGACAGTCCACTTGGATTTTCAGCCACTGTTTGGCCTATTGTACTACCCCAGATGATTGATGATGATGATGATGATGGTGATTCTTGTGGAGCAGTTGGTGGTGTGTAACGTGGCAGGGGAAACCCAAGAACTTGGAGAAAACCTGCCTCAATGCCAATTTGTTTACCACAAATTCCACATGACCTAACTCAGGCAACTGAGGTAGGAAACTGGCAATTAACGGCCTGAGATGTGGAACGACCCTAAACAAGGGTTTAGTGGAATGTGGCACATGTGTGCTTTGACAACAAATGAATTTTTTGTCTTACCATGCCAGTAATGTTGATGAGACCTTGCCGCCACAAGAAAAGCAGTAGCCTGTGCCTGCCATTGACCAGAGCAGTCTGTTTAATTTTCTGTCTTTGAAATACACAGATGGCAGTGAAGAAGAGCCCACTGAGACACAGAGTAGCCGCAGCTCAACAGATGATGAAAGCGGGGCTGACGGTCCCACAGGAAAGTACCATCTACGAAAGACAAAACCAACAGTTGATAGGTTCCAGGCTAATGTTGGTAAGTTTTCCATATTCTTGTATAATAATGTGGGGTAATGCAGCTGATGTGATTTTTGGAAACCTGAGAATGAAAATAATATACTAAAAATTTGAATTACGAGGGTTGGAACTTTAATAGTGGCAACACTGCTGTAGAGACGCCATGCAACAGAACCAAATAATGTCGCTTATACCACACGTTAGTTACATACCTACCTTACCTCAGAGCAAATGGACTCTCCCTTCCCACATCACGCGCATGCACAGTGACGAGGAGAACAGAACCTCATGTTAGCTGGCGGTCTAATGTAGTGTTGTCACGATGTTTTCGATACAGGAACAATGGAGTTGGATAAAGAATGGATGTGCCAGAGGCCATACAGCACGACAGTGTCACCAAGGTCTTCAAGAGGTTTGCGAGGAATCTGCATTGCCTTACCGAACAGTGGCAAGGTGGGTAAAAGCCTTCAACGAGGGATGCCAAAATGTGGCAGACATGTGTCGGCCAGGTCGTCCTAGTGTCAGTGAAGAAGAAGTGTATGAGTATGCTCTTTCCACATTACTGGAGAGTGATCGACGCCATATGATTCGTGATCTGGCCCGAGGGACAGGATTAGCACATATGACTGGGCTTCACATTCTGAAGGAACCCCTGAGCATGAAAAAAATTGCATCACGATGGGTTCCGCATAATTTGACAGAAATGGCTACGATACAACGCTGCTTGTAATCACTTAGAGCACTATGAGCGCGAAGGAGAGGCTTTCCTACGCCGTATCATTACGCTGGATGAGACATGGGCCAAAACGTATGAGCCACAAATGAAACACCAATCAAATGAATGGCGTCATTACGGGTCACCACGAAAATCAGAAGTCCATCAGAACCCCAGCAGTGTGAAAGTTATGGTGATTCTCGTGTACAACTATGATGTTATCCTAATGCATACCATTCCCCGACAGCAGACCGTCAATGCGCAGTATTGCTGTTCATTTTTGGAACAAAACCTGCGACCAGCTTTGAGAAAGAAGTGGCGACACTTTCTGCAGAACCCACCCATCATTTTGCAGGACAGCGCTCGGTCGCATGCAGCCCGAGCTGTGGCTGATTTGTTCAATTGATGGGGCTGGAAAGTGCTGTACCATCCACCATACTCCCCGGACTTAAGCCCTTGTGACTTCGACTTGATTCCTAAGATGAAGGAACCACTTCGTGGCATTCGCTTCAGAATTGTTGCAGAGATTCTTGAGGCAGTAGACTGCTCCATTCGAACTATCAACACAACAGGCACTACTAAATGTATCCTATGACTTCCACATCGCTGGCAACGGGTTGTACACAATGCTGGTGACTACGCTGAAGGACAGTAAAACTTTGAAACATGCATCTATTTTGTATCAGTTGTAAATAAATAGTTGCCACTATTAAAGTTCCAACCCTTGTATGTTGGGGCATTGTGAGCAAAGTATAAAACAAATTCAGTAACTCGGGAAGAGGATCTGGATTTTATTTTATTATGTTATATGGTGAATTATAGCTGTTGTAATTCATACATTACCTCTGTGTTTCATCTTTGATTTGCTGAACTTGTTTTGTTAGATCTTGATGAAATGTTGCACAGAAGACATATCCTAAAGTGATGTGACAGTATGAACATCACCATTATCCATAGCAAATTAAGATTAACATTTATACCTAAATAATTTTATGTTTATGTTACATATACTCCGAATTCAGATTCTAGTCTTCTGGGTTGTGATACCATACATTCTAGTAAGTAGATGTAAAAATTTTGGAGGAATATGCTGCCTCCATCTTCAGGGTTGAAGTGTGTAGGGTCACGAAATCGTTGGGATAAGGGAGGTTGCATTGAAGATGGTTAGCGAGACCCACAAGAGGAAGTGAGAAAGCAGAACCTTATCATGGCCAATAACAATAGTTGGCAGGAAAATGGTCCTTTTCAGGGTCAAAATATTTTTAATCACAAAGGAATTGAAATTGTGGCCTGATAAGGGCCATTTTTCTTCATAATATTCCTGTTGGCCTAGTTCTGGCCATTACCTCTCCCCCTCCCATGTTTCTAAGTGACCATCTTACTTGAAATCTGACCACATAATTTATTCCTTACACTACACCTTGAACCCTGAAGCTGGAGGGAGCATGTGCCTGTGAAACATCAGTATTTGCCAGCAAGACTGTGATGTCATCGCCCATAAGACTGTGGTCTAAATAATCACTGCTACTAAAACCTCAAAATGTATACACCAAATATTGAAATTTTCAAATGTTACAAATGTGTTCAGATGATACTGTTGTCACATAGGAATTTTTCATATCGTTATACGCTTTTGAGAAATATAACTGGGCTTTAAGTGAGTCTTACATTTATTTATTTATTAAATGCTAATAAAATCAACGCAAGTTCTACACAAAGTTACAGTTTGGGGGGNGGGGGGGGGGGAGTGTGGGACTTGAGTCCACTTTGTGCACTGGCCACCAGTGGGCCTATTGTACCAGTCATACGTGATGATTTTGAGTATGGAGCAGTTGGTGGAATGAAGATTGGCAGGGTAAACCAAAGCAGTCATAGGAAGCCTGTTCCAGTGCCATTTTGTCCACCTCAAATTCTATTTGACTTTACCTAGAATTGAACCCAGGCTGCCATGGTGGGAACGTAGTGACTAACCACCAGAGTTATGGCACAGTCTTAGTTACAAATGTTAGTAGGAAAAGTATGGTAAAACCCCAATTTGTGTTTTCTTCAGGGTACAGTGGAATTGAACACTAAAATGAAGAAAATCTTAAATGGAGGATATTTGGTATTCAGATTATTGACTAGATAACTGAAACCAAAGATGAAATGAGGGAAAACTTTAAACTGAGTAAGATTACTTATAAAGGGGAGTTCCATTATATTTGCATCATGTATAGTTAAGTGCCTCGTAACTTTAGTTGTGCAGAAAGGTAAATGTCGTTGTGGAGCACGCGAAGCTGTACGCTTGCTGTGGCGATGTTTAGAACTACTCCCCAAGCAGAAAACATTGCCTATGGAGACCAGGCGTTAGCTGTTACTTCCCTGGCCTCACTATGAATTGTTAAATGCCATTGTCGGTGTGCCATGATAGTGACACGAACACCACATAATACAATTGCTATGACTGATACCAACTAACAAGCAACACAACATACTATACACCTGACCACACTCCAAGACACTACATTCCAAACTGGTAGTACCCACGCTGATGTAAGCTGATAAGACTGCTCCCCCAGCTCCACGAGAGATGGTATGACCCCTCTACCATGGCTAGAGTTCTGAGGAACTAACAGTATGTGCCACTTGTGCAGTGAAGGTGGAGGATATCCACTTTCTTTAGTTTACAATCAGTGGTACCTAGTACTGCAAGGTGGTGCCATCTTCCATTTAAAAATAAACATGTGTATTACCACCTATAGACCTCTGCCTCATTACCTGATGATGATGAAATATTTTCACGAGGCTCAGTGAACTCATTGATTTCTTCTAACTCTTCATCAGATTCCTCTTCCATCAGTATTTCCTCCAGTCCTTCTGCATCGAGAAGTTTTGAATTTTGGGCACTTTTTTGAGGTTCCATCTTGGGGGAGGAGGGGGGTATCCAGCTAAATCGAATAAATTATGTTGATTGACCAAGTGACACTTTCACCTGTTAGCAGTATTTGCAAAGTAGTGATGCAAAGTAATTATAATACTAGTCAAAAAGGATGCCAGTCCGACACTGATATTGAAAGTCGCAGTGACGAAGGTGCTTTTTACTCACAAAGTAATACTGTCTCAGAAGGTTTATAAACCCTTCAGAGACACAAAATAAAGATGATATATAAAGAAATATATGACAGTCTATCACTGACTTTCTAACTGATAATTCGCTACTGAAACAAAATCCTTAAATACGTCACACTTCCTTGAAAGCTCTTGAAGCACTAATCTGCCAGCACAGATGAACATTTACTCCTCAGTTCTCAAAACAAAGCTGGGTTCTATTTGGCTGACCAGTTCATATGTGTCTGGTATGTAGATTATATTGCACACATATATATCAACGAGGTAGATGTTGATAATACGAAGAAAGTGACATTGTGTTTTTAAATGTTAAATTTTAGACTGGGTTCAGTGTGGCAGCAACGTTAAGCGTATACACCTGATGATGGCCGATAGAGGCCGAAACATGTAGTGTAGAAAGAACAAGATCAAAGACATATAATATATATTGTTTGCACTTGGGACGGAGTTTGTATATGCTTAAATATAATATAGTATGGAGTATAATGATCAAGATCTAGTACAGTGTCCAATCCACTATTAATGCCAGATTGTCACGTTTTTTAGTGTTGTGTGTCTTATAGATTGGGTGTGGATTTGATAATGGATTTATTGACCACTTATACACACGCCTCGGAAGTACAAGTAATTACAGCACCATCGCTAATCTCAACAATTCACATATCACCACAGCATCCACAAATCCTTTTTCCAGCCTCTTGTGTCTTCACCATCCATTCCCTGGCAACAGCTTATAACAGTGAAGATTCTTTAGCTTCACACACTCATGTCCTCCCTTCACACCCTTTCATACAGAATTCAACTAGAACTGACCTAGTCCCTTGCTTATAACATTTCAGCACAGACCACATAGAAAACACAGCTGTTCTATTGTTGTGTCCAACTGTTGCATTATAAGAATCTATTGCCTAGCAACGGGAATGTGTTCACTGAGCTGTTGCTCAAAGACGGTTGCTTAGCAACAGGTCTATATGACACAGTATTTCACATCTCACCCTTTCTCCTGCTATCAAACCAGCACTTACTTTTTCTGGATGGTTCTTTAAGATGGTGACAGCGATGCACACTGGATCATTGGAACTGCTTCAGCAGTGAGGCAGTTAAAGCACAGGCTGCAGAATCTAAGGACAAGAACATTTCAAAGAAAACTTCATCCTGAACTGTGTGTAGTGTTTGTCTGCATGTTCACAGGTTAGAATTTACATAGTGCACCAATTGAATATGTGGGTTACAGATCCTCCACGCCGTTCATCACGAATTCTACGTTCAGTATTGTACAGTTCTGTCAGGCGTCATCGCCACCGTGGTCCAGCACGGGATGCCAGCTCTTCAAGTAGCAGTGATGATGAAAGGTTTGACAGGAAAAAGAATAAAGGACATACAAAGACTCGGAACAGGTTTGTCCTCTGCATGATATTGGAGGTTTTTTAGTTCTATTGTCACACATCAAGGGTTTTCATGAGAAATAAGATGGGTTTTGGATTTAATGGTTGAATTTATTTGACCTTTATACAACTGGTTACAGCAGTTCACAGATCACTGACACACTCTCATCTTCTTTTGACTGGACCTGACTTCCAAATGAATTGTCAGTTATTTTTGGTCTCTCATTAAATTGCCTCAGGTTGGACCACAGCATAGAAAACACATCCATTGTCTAGCAATGGATATATGCAAACCAACATAGAAACATTGGTTCTATTTTTCTTGTGTGTATTGCGGACATTGCCTAGAGATGGGTGTACTGTGTTGTTGATTGCGTATTTGTGGTAGGCTTGTTTACCATTTTGTTCCCCAGCAATGTGTCTGCATGTCACATTTTACCTTCCTTAAGGCTGTTATTCCTGAATCGCCTACAGGCGTACCGCCGTTCTTCCTTCTACGAGGGTTGTGCTTTCAACGTCTGTACTTGGTCTCACCAACCTTCTCATGGCTCAGCTTGTCTGCTGTGTTTCAACTGTACCTCTCCCACTGCTACCTTCTTAAGGTGTCAGCCCATCCAGGAGTATAACCATCATCCAAAGTTTCTCTTGTTTTTGCAACTGGTGGGGTCGAAATTACCTAGAGTGGCCAGTGCTCCCACATTTCTGGATATTTTTGTGCTAAAGGTGTGATTTCACTGTGGCCTCTTAGGAACCTTTTCATGCTTCACTCCAGACATTATTTCTTCAGGATTATCCACCATCTTCTCTGGATAGGCCCTTGTCTCTCCTCAGTGAGCTCCGAATATGGCCATCATCTCCTCATGATGGACTTTCATAATGGCCCTCATTTCTTCCTGGGTAGTGTCCTCCTTGGTGGCTAGTGTAACCGTACGCATCCTTCACGGAGGTGTCTTATTTGTTTGTAAGTAATGATTAAGTTTAGCTGTGGAAATGAGATGCTCCGGAGGGATCAAGGTCCTCTGAACTGGCCTTTTGTTGCGAGGGACAGAAGGGAGGTTGGTGAGTCCATTGCATTCAGGGGGGGAGTAGGTATACCTTCTTTCGTCCGTGCCTGTGGGGGGTGAAGGACCTGTGGATAGAAGCTTCGAGAAGGTGGGTAGACCGGAAGGGGTCCGTGCATTTGGTCATGTAGTCATCCCAGTGGAAGGTTCGAGATGGGGGTAAGAAGGTGGTTTCGAAAAGCAGCGGCAGGGGTAATTGTGTAGTGGGTGAGTAGAAGCCAGGGAGTGAGGGTGTTCATGTTGAACCTGTGCTGAGGGATTAACCGATCGAGCCCACATACAAAATGGCGTAAGCGTAGCCAACACCCGTGTACCCCTGGGATACAAGACTCATACCACTGAATTTAGTCGAGGCACTACCCTGTGAGGAAGTAAAGCTTGTGGGGGCGGGTGTACCAGAGAATGTATCTCTGGCTTTCAGAGATTCTGTCATTTGTTCCATGGTTGTAGTCTGGTGCTGTAAAAGAAGTCTTCAATCCAGTAATTGATCAGTCCAATCCAACCCACTTTTGACACCAAAATGTAATGTATCCAGGGTTCGCGTAACTAATAAAATTGGTTTTAGATTTGATGATTGAATTTACTGGACCCTTATATATCTGGTTACAGTAGTTCACAAATCACTCTCTGATACACTGTCACCATCTTATGACAGGACACCCCCATGGGAACTATTCTGACTTCCAGCTGAACTGTCAGTTATTGTTGGCCTCTCATTATATAGCCTTGGGTTGGACCACAGCACAGGAAACACATTTGTTTTCTAGCAATGGATATAAGCAGTCCCACATAGAAACACTGGTTCTGTTGTGTGTGTGTGTGTGTGTTATGGGCTTTGCCTAGAAATAGGTCTGCCCTATTGTTGGTTGTGTTTTCATTGTGGGCTTGTTTACTGAGTCATTCCCTAGCAGTGGGTCTCCATGTCACATTGTGTTTGTTAGTGTTTCGGATACTGCATTTACGTGCATAGCTTTTGCCCTTGTATAATTCAAGAGATGATGTTTAATTTATTGAAAGAGTGCACTTCAAATGTAGTAGAACATATATATATATAAGGGTAAAGCTATCCCTGTAGCAGCCCATGGGGACCCATGGGGTTGTGAGATGTTGAGGGTCTCACATTATCTAGACAGTAGGCTTACAGATGTCAGTAAGGGTGTCAGCCTTACGTGCCGGCTGCCCTTGACCCCCCTCCCCCCCGTACTCATTTCTGTTAGAGGCTGAGTCGACCCCAGGGCCATAGTATGGCTGGAAGGATTAGGTAACTTGAGAAAAAAATCCACCTCATTGGGACTAACCCGCGACTTTCTGGCTTGTAGCATAGTGCCTCAACCAACTACACTACTGTGTGCCCTCACATATATTGATTTTCTACTGCATAATTGATAAGCTTATACATAGGTTGGATAAAAAGTAGTGACAACAGTTCTATAGTTCTGAAATGACTTTATTACCTGAGGTAAACACACTTACATTCCTTCAATATAATCGCCGCTCGTGTGTATCACCTTCTGCCAAATTTGTGGAAAGCGTACACCATTAGCACGTCCACTTCTGTTGATGTCCAGCAGTGACCGCCCGACAGCACGAATAATCTCCTCTCTTGTGTTGTAATGTGTCCCTCGTAGTGGTTCTTTCCTTTTGGCAAAGAGATCATAATCGCATGGGTTCATATCGGGTGAGTATGGCGGGTGTTGCAGTATCTCCCATCTCCATCGGCAAAGGAGATCCTTGACAGCATCAGCAGTATGAGCCCTTGCATTGTCATGAAGGATGATGGGGTTCGTTGCCAACAAGTGTCGTCGCTTTCTCCTGAGTGCTGGATGAGGATGATTACTCAGGAAGTTGCAGTAGTAGGCAGCGTTTACTGTCTGTCATTGTGGTACAGTGTGGTGCAGTATCACTCCATCAGTGTCATATGCCACAATGAACATCGCCTTCACATTACTCTGTGTAGGGCGCACTTACTTTGGACTAGGAGAGCCAGGATGCTTCTATTCATTTGATTGTCGCTTCAGGTGTGGTTCATATGAGCGAGCCCAAGTTTTGTCCAGAGTGATGATCCTTCCAAGGAAGTCGTCACCTTCCCTCTGATACCGGTCCAACATGTCCTGTGCAGTTGCATAATGTTGCCATTGTTGCACCTTGGACATTGTATGGGATACTCAATGTGCTGCAGTTTTGCGATATCCAAGAATATCGTGCAGAATGTGGAGCACGGTTTGTGACATATGCCTACCTCAGCAGCTAACTCCCGCGCAGCCCATTGACGATCGACATCCACCAAAAAAGCAAGAAGCTGAATTGTGTGGTTGTCAACATGGGGTCGTCCTGAATGGCATCCCTCCCTTCACGGAACAATTTCACGAATCGTGCCACTGTGTGATATGGCAAAGCAGCATCACCACATGCGTCTCGCAGTCCCTGATAACAGTTTTGTGCACTATGACCTCATGCAACTTCAATTTTTATCCAGGAGCATTGTTCTTGTTTCGTAAACTTGTTATGGTGCTTGAACTGGGCTCCTGCACTTCAAGACGATGCACAATGCAACTCAATGAAACACAACCAGAGCCACTCACTACACTACTTCAACTGAACTTCTGCTATCAGATACAGACAATGCTAGTGCCACCTGACACACATCTTTCATGTTACAGCAGTGTTGCCACTACTTTTTATCCAACCCTTGTATATAAGGTGATCTCAGAAATAGAAGATCTTCCTTCTGTATGTAAAATTTGAAGGAAAAGTAATTCTGTGACTTGGCCAGATAAAATTCATAGGCACAGTTCCACTGCAAAAAAAAAAAAAATACAACTTCTTTTCCTGCTTCTTCATAATGGCCCATTTTATGCCCACAAATATTGGTCAGGCTGCTTTACAGTTAGGCCAGAATACGGTGACCAGTAGGCAGAATTACAATTATCAGGGTGATGATGTGTGTGTAGAATAGAAATTAAAAAACTTGAAACAAATTCAAGTAGAAAATTAACCTATAATGAATATGGAAATTTGATACAATATTGGAAGCTAAATTTTAAGTTCTGAATGTAGAAAAATAATACCATAATTTTGCATTTTAGCTGATTGATCAGTTCTGAAGGATTTAATCATATGGGCCACTTATGTGATAGTTATCATTGCATTAATTCAAATAGTGGGAGAATGTGAGACTGATGAAACTTTCTTATCCTCAGGTGCCTGCCACTGAACTTTGATGCAGCTGCTCTTCCAGGGTCAGGTAACCATGCACGTGGTGCTGGTGACCATAAACAAATTGTATCTGCATTAGCTGATGTGGACCCAATGTCCCTTGACCGCAGTATCAGGTTTTGTCATGTGGGTGGACTTGAAAGCCACATTCGTTGCCTTAAAGAGATGGTTGTGTTTCCAATGCTTTACAGAGAAGTGTTTGAAAAGTTCCATATCCAGCCTCCTAAAGGAGTACTTTTTCATGGACCTCCAGGTGAGATAACTTCATCTAATGATGTGTGTAAGAAAGTAATTAGTTGTGGGTGTCATGCAGTTTAGGTGTTTTGGATATTAGCCTCCTGTTCAGTTAGTCTGTGATCCAGAAGAGGGAGAAGACATTTTTTAAGAAGATAAATTAATTATTGGTTTCATTTTTCACATAGGCACTGGTAAAACCCTAATTGCTCGAGCTCTGGCAAATGAATGTAGTCAAGGAGATTGTAAGGTCTCCTTTTTCATGCGGAAAGGTGCTGACTGCCTGAGTAAATGGGTTGGAGAGTCTGAACGTCAGCTGAGAATATTATTTGAGCAGGTACATGATTATTTTTGTAGTATTTTAATAATTTTAGGTGATTGAAACTTTCGTGGTAAAGATGGATTTCATATCTGATACTTCAGAGCATGTCTCTCTCTCCATCATCAGGTGTTAATATTGTGAGTAATTTGGCTGCATGTTGTATTTATACCCATGGCTTTCCCTGCATCAGCTGCTGTTGGGATTGGGGGTAGAGTGACATTAATCCCTGATGATGGTAACTGAGACTGTTGGATTCTAACTAACTACATCTTAACATGGTTAATTACCTGAAAAGAATTTACCATGTTTCATAATTAATAAGGAAGTTACAGTTGTCAAAGAGTCTATATTGTGTGTACTTGAGTGTATACAACTCAAATATAAGATAATATCATGAAAATTGTAGGCTTAAGGCCTGAATCTCATGGTCCAGTAGTTCTCTTGTCTTGAATTTTTATGTCCCAGGTTCATGTCTTGTGTCAGATATTGGCTGTGCAGCCAGAGTCAGTTTCTCCAGGCAGATGTCAACATTTTACCTTAAATTAAAGCCGTGACTGCTTCCATCCACATCCTTTCCGGTTCATTATTCACAAATCATACCACTTGACACTATATAATCTTACCAATTGAAAGAATCATGTAATAAACCAGAAATAAACAGTTTTCATTGAATGCATCCTGTTGTGTTTATTATACAAAAATCTTTAGTAATCCGTCGCAACACAACAATGACCTCAACCATCTCATTGTGTTGCGATGAATTACAAATAAAAATTTTTGCAGAAATAAAAAAATGTAATGGGTTTTAAGAAGAAAAGGAAAAATTAATACTTTGTTTAGCAGAATGGATTTTCACTTATACTTTACTGTTATTAGTACAGTATGGATCCCATTATCTGGAAAGATTTGGACAAGGGGCTTATGGATTTTGGGTCCCTTGATGGCCAGGGTTTGATTCCCAGCTGGGACAGTTTTCTCTTCTCCGCAGCTTTGAGATCTGGGGCCCACACAGCCTTCTATCCAATGAGTATTGGTGGGGGGGGGTCTTTCCCCGGGAGTAAAGTGGCCAGAGCATGAAGCTGACAACTCACCTTCATTTAGTGCCGAGGTCACAAATGGTGGAGCTGCACCTCCACGCCCCCATATGTTTTCATGGCATAGTGCTTAAGTAAGCACAGGGACAACTTTATCTGTTTACCTTAACCAGAAATATTATTACACATGTAAATTCAATAATTGAAGACATGTATTTATATTTGCTTTACCTTAAAGCTGTTTGAAGTTGAACAATAGGAGCCAGATTTATCACTTATAATACCAGAATCGTCTTTAATCTTTTTAAACACGACTAAACATGACTTGCAAAGATAACTGTTTCATGCATTTGAGTTTTCTTTTTTTTTAAAACCTCCTGTATTTTATATACCCACATAATATTGTCACATGTTAGTGACTTGACATTTGGATTGATAATTGGATTTATTTGGTGGTTATAACACTCTCGCTGATTTACACACACTGTAAATCGCTACAACTACAGCACACAAAGTATTCTGCTTGTTATTTTGTCATCACTAGTCGTTGGTAGATGCTAACATTGGATACTCCTTGTGGCCACCCATGAACTACCACTGCTCACGTGCAAGTCATGACTCTCTTGACTGGCTGCTTTATTGCTGCTGGCCCTCACCTACACAGTCATTCTTGGTTTCAAGTCACGTAAGACTCATGACCATATTTTACCCTCTCATGACACTGGGAGTCATACAGCTCTCTCCTGTTGCTGGTCCTTGTTATAGAGCCTTGGTGCGGACTGCATAGAAAGCAGTGCATCCTCTGTTGTTGCTTCAGTAACTGTTGCTGTGTGGAAACATATTTACCATGCTGCTGCCTGGCAATGACTGCTTCTACTTGTTCCAGTATTCTGGCTTTCGTCCATCTTGTCACATAAGTTGCTCCTGGATTTTGGGTACTGTACCATCAGTATGCATATGTAACTTGCTCTGCTTTTTTGTAGAAGACAGTTGGGTCCCTTCAATTTTCCTTAAAACTTTTACCATGTTTGAAATTGCCATTTAGCTTCAGATTGCGGTCATTTTTATATCCATGGAGTTATTGATTCAGATGCTTCACACTTGATGTCAGCTTCAGTTGGAGTCACATGTTTATCACTTGTACTATTAATGCAAACAAATATATGTCATAAGTATAGAATCATTTCACATCTTGAAGTTAAAGGCAGATGAATGTGCAAAAGAAAGATGGAACAGAACAGCAGAAAGGACATTCAATATCAACAACATTGGGTGGCCTATGTACAGTGGGTTGTTGCAAGTAAATCTGCTGTGGTTAATGCAGCATAACTTTTGAAGGCTTTTGGAGATTGTGATGTGCTGTGCTGCAATACCTTCACGGTTTGAAATACAAAATTTTGTATTATGGGTTTACTAAAGGACATGAAACCTGGAGCACCCTGTACTGCAAGAACATCTGAAAACAGAATGATTTTGCATGTCTGTTACTCAGGTCAGTCTGGTAGCAGTCTGCTTCACTCAGTCTGTTGGAGTCAACTATGTGGCAGGCTCTCCATTGAATTAATATGCTAGGATGGCTACTTCAGTTCAAGGTGATATTGAGATAAGAATTCAGAAAAATTTCAATAAATAGCATGAGAATTGGAATTTTTTCTAGACCAAATTTTTCTCAGTAAGAACATATATAATGTGAACTATTTCTCCACAGTGCATCAAAATGTACTACTGTATTTTCTTGAAAGGAAGGTGTTCCTGAAAGTAAGCTGACTTTATACTAAGAGACATGTCTTCAGAGAGAGAAGCAATTTTATTAATTAATTTCATAACCTTACTACAGACATGTGAAAGGAAATCGGTACTTGAGAACATGTTATATATGACATTTATTGAGTAGTTTTCTTGAAGTTACTAGCCTGTATTCGGCTTTACCAGTCTTACATTTTTCACCATTCTTATCGCCTGTTTCACGTTTCATCAGGTATGCAATTTCCATCTCCTGTCTTGAATACATTGCTCATGATCTCATCTTTACCATGAACATTCTAAACTTCTTCCATAGTCTCCCACAGATTCATCAGATAAACACAATTTTTAGAGCCTCAACTGTCACTTCTAGAAAGATCCATTGCTGTGGTGTCCTTATCCATTGACACAGTAGTTCTACACTGGGTTTTTTTATTGTCCCTGTTGATGTCAGTATATGGTTCCCTGCCAAGAGTCATTTAGAATACAGTAGTTTTAAATGATTCTTAAAAGGCTTAAATATGTCGTTGTGAGGTTATGATGCCAGAATTCATTGCATGAATCTCATATGTGGTATCCAGCATTAAGTGACCTTTAAATGCAGTTCTTGTGTCCCCAGCAAAACTCTTGGTCTCCTCATCCAGGTATTTTGTGAATAGTACCCAATCAGTTCATTAGTTATCCATCCCTTTGTTTCAGACCTCTTACCTGACCCATAGGCTGCTGTGCCTTGGCCATAGTTGTTTGATTTAATATCACATGGTAGTATCGTGCTGTCTGCCACACCTGCACATTACAGTCACTTGCATTCAGTGCATTTTCAGCGCTCGATGTTTCTATAACGAAGTAGTTTTCTTGTACATCATCAGTATTATAATTTGATGGGATATTGAAATGCCTTGGTGATTCATTGGCATTGCCCTAAAGTGTGGTTGTAACTTTTTGCAAAGTGAAATTATTCACTGTAAAGGATACTTATTTTTCCAGATCATTTATACATACAACCATGCACTGGAGTTAAATTTCTGCTGCTTTTTTAGTTTAATGATGTTTCATGAAGCTGGCATTGCATTTTGCCCTTGAATCTGTAAAAATTATGATATTCTCATAGAATTTGACTGAGTTCTGTTTCTGTTGTTTCCAGTTTTGGACAATTTAGAGGACATTATTTTCTTATTGCTTCACATTAAATGTCTTGTAAACTTAATCATTATAATGGCTGGTGCCTGATACTTTTTGATACATAATTGCTTTGCACTGGTCTCTCTTTTCATCCAGGAATCTGACATTTTTGTAGCGAGAGAAACTTGCATTAGCACAAATATTTTGTGATATAATAAACTGATAAATTGCTACTTTTCATTCAAAATCTGATGGTACTTCAGATCCTCTCATGGTTTCTGACAATTAAACCTGTCACTTTCTCTCTTGCTACTATCACAGTATGATACAAAGTGAATTTTGGGTTAAAGACACTGAAAGCTTAAAACTGATTAAAAGCGTTTAAACATGTATATGTTAGCACTGAAATTCATGATGGGGAATAGTGTTGTAATGCTTAAAAGTGGAGAAAAGATCTAACCTTCCATCTGGAGAAATATGGTAACTGATCTGTTTGACAGCAGATCCTGAAGCAGAAAGCGAAGACAGTTATCAGAAAGCTCTTGATGTTCAAGACTGAAAGATGAATGCTGGATTTGCGATCACGGTTTCTTTCTTCTTTATTCATTTTCAAAAGTATGAGACTGGCACATGTCTGAGTAATTTTCAGTCTTATAATATTGTAACGTGTTTCGTTACTGAATACGCCGTAGAGATCGTTAACTGGTTTATTGAACAATCTACAACTATCGGCTACACTTAATTATCACAACGTTACGGGTTTCCACAGTTTACAAACCCTACAACAGAT